TGTCACCATACACTAATTGCTTTCAAGCCCAGATAATCGCTCAGCTCCCTAAATTGCAGCCAGAGGAGGTTAGAAATCGCCCCTGCTCCTCGCCTTGGTGCGGGAAAGGGAGCCCCAGACCCCGGCCGCAGCACTTCTGCAAGCCGCTGCTCTCAAAGTGTGAAAACTAGGCTGAACTTTAAATCCTTCTTAAAAATAAAATCCAGTGCAGCATACAACCGAAGTAATAACCTCTCTCTGCCCTTTTCTTTCCGACAGCAGCGAACTACCTTTCCAGAGACGACATAGGCATGGTTGGAGGACAAACCGGTTAAGAACAGAGTGTGGGAAAAAATGAAAAGCAAATACAGTAACCTAAAAACAAAATCCCCTGTTAAATCCCAGCCGCATCCCTGCGTTGTCGGAGACAGCTGGGCCGACGGCTGGGGTGGGAGAGCGGAGCAGGGGCCAGAGGCTGGTCCCAGCCCCCTGGTACAGGGGTCAGGAGCAGAGACCAACCTCGTACCCTGCGGCCCCCTCCCGCCCCGCGAAGGGGGACAGGAGTTCGCAAAGGAAAAAGATGAGAGCGCCTGGCTGTCCGTGTATTGCCTCCCCCCTTGCCAGTAGATGCTAGGGCTGCAGAAAGCCTGAGAGGAATATTGTTTGTGGGAACTGCCACCGCATATTAATGTCCCCTCATGCATGCATTGAATAAATCACTAGGGCTAATTGAACAACAACAACAACAAAAAAAATAGGAAACCAGGCCTTAGAAAAGCCCTCCGGATTCCCACCGCAGAACTATGTCAGCGGCGGGGCAGATGCGTTGTACGGGGAGTGCGATTGCGGCGGTCAGCGTGTTTGCAGGGCTCGGTACCATTTCTGAGTTTTAATTTATCTGACTAAAAAAAAAAAAGGAACCAACCACCACCACCGGCACAGCTTGAGCTGGTGGGACTCCGACCCGCAAATGCTCAGAGGGCTCTGCCAAGCTGAGCAAAACCCAGCGCCACGGGGCACAGGAGCGGAGTCCCCCAGCTGTGCGCGCTCCCGTCCCGCCCGGGTCCGGTGTCTCCGGCCGGCCGCTGGCTGGCCAGGGGGGGCACGATGCGGCC